CCTGAACCTGGACCATTTCATGGCACGTTTGCAAGGGTGTCATAAACCTAAAGCAACGGGAATGGAATCAGACTTCCCTGGAAACATGGCCTGCCGGTTTCCATGGCAATGGTCAATTCAACATTTACATTTCTCAACTGCAAAAGCAAAAAAAAAAATTTTTTTTGCGAGGCTCCTTTTTTCTGTACCTCTTTGTACTGCTCCAACCTGGACCATTTCATGGCACGTTTGCAAGGGTGTCATAAACCTAAAGCAACGGGAATGGAATCAGACTTCCCTGGAAACATGGCCTGCCGGTTTCCATGGCAATGGTCAATTCAACATTTACATTTCTCAACTGCAAAAGCAAAAAAAAAAATTTTTTTTGCGAGGCTCCTTTTTTCTGTACCTCTTTGTACTGCTCCCATGCCTAGGAGAGCTGGGGAAACGGATGATTAGTCTGCGTGCAGACAGCAGGGGGCTGAGCCGAGCATCAGCAGAAGGGGGGGCAGGGAGGGATGAAAGTAAAGGGGTTTTTTATTATTTTTTCACCAGGCCTGAGCAGTGTTTCTGGGTTGGGAATGAAGCGCCCGCCCCAGACTGTGAATTCACCTGCTCTGCCTCCAGAGTTAGGCTGGAATAGAGGGGGAGGCAGCCTGGGAATCTAAGCCGTTTGCTGGTGGACCGAGCTGCTTCCAGGTGGAGAAGGGGCTTCCCTGCTCTCGCGGAATCCTTTTCCTCTGGGCAAGGGAAAGCACGGGAACGTTCACCAGAGAGCCGTGTGTGCCATGCACTGGCAAGGGCCTGGAGCAGTGCCAGGCAGCGCGGGAGGGGGCGTTTTGTGAGCACTACAGACTGGTACTGCCCAGGCTGTATCTGCAGCGTGTCTCCAGCCCTGGCTGAACTCCTGCGCTGGATGACATTGCTTTCACCGTGCGCTCTGGGTTCCCACGGCCCACAAGGCTGGCGCCTCCTAGCACAGACATGCGCTCTAGGCCCGCAGTTTGCAAACCTTTTTTCTCATGACCCAGTTGAAGAAAATCGTTGATGCCGTGACCCAACAGAACAGAATGTGACTGGAGTGTGGGCTCTGGGAGGGGGGGGGCTGAGGAGGAACTTGAGGGGCGGGGGGCAGGTAGATCAGGGCTGGGGCAGGAGGGACTTACCTTGCGCAGCTCCTGGTCAGCAGTGCAGTGGTGGGGCTAAGGCAGCTTCCTGCCTCTCCTGGCCCTGCAGACCTGGCTGCGCCGCTAAAGCAACCAGCAGAGGTTCCCAGCCCATGGGAGTGCAGAGCTAGTGCTTGGGGCAGGGGCAGTGCACGGAGCCCTGTGCACTCCCCTACCAGCACCTAGGAGCCGGCCTGCTGCGACCCCTTCTGGGGTGCAGCGCAGTCTGCAGTGCACAACAGGCAGGGAGCTGCCTTATGCCTTAACAAGACCCAGCACCTGACATTCCACCACCCGGTACTGGGTCACGACCCGCCGTCTGAAAACCGCTGCTCTAGGCAAAGTCTTTCCTAAACCTTGCTTATCAAGTCCAGACAGAGGCAACTGGTGCTTGCGGAGAAAGGGCTGCAGGGGGGTCCCCTAGAAGAACAAGGAAGGGGCATGGGAGGGCACCTCATTTACAATCAAGGTTTTGGCAGGGACACAGCACACGTCTGGAGCACTACCACGAGGCACCTTGGAGTCCAGATTTTAAACCTGCTTTTGCCCAGCAGAGGCAAAAAGACGGAGGCACTCGCTGCTGCGGGGCCACTGTCCTGGGAGCACCTCTTTACCTAACTCTGGCCCCCACAGCCAGCAGAGAGGGGGCAGAAGAGGTTACAAGAGGCATTAGCAGGGCCACCAGCAGCTCCCAGCCGATGCTGGGTCTGTTTGTCGCCGAGGCTCCGGGGCCTCCCCCTGGGCTGCCAGACCCCTCTGGCTTTCCAAGATTATGCAGTTGGCACAGCGGTTTGTTCCCTTCCAGAGGGCGTTGGTGGAATTCCTGCAGGCGAAGGGGAGGAAAAGGATTTGCACTCAACCCAGGGCATTTCAAACCCGCTCACCAGACCAAGAGCTAATCCACCAGGACGAGTGCTCCTCGTTTGTCCTCATTGCAGCCCCACCTGCCCTCGCACTGAGACAAAGGAAAAGAGAAGGGGGGAAAAAGCAGCTTTGCAGGCCATCTGCCTCCCCTCTCCCTGGGCCAGGTGCACTCACGGGCCAGAAAGGACCCCAGGGCCATCGGAGCGGAGGAAATGTTGCTTTCTCCGGCAGCCCCTCAGGGCAGGCGCCTCTGGCAGAAGTGGGGCTTTGCGGGTTCACAGCCCCACCTGATGAATGACAGGGCATGTGCAGCATCTTGCTCGTTCATCGCCACGAAAGCCTTCTCTCTGGACGTGGGCGTCCAATTCTTGAAAACAATGGAGCAGGAAGCCTCTGAGCATCATCCAACAGAGCTGGCAGGCTGCCTCGGCCCCTGGGCTCACTGGCTTTCCCTTACTGGCTGCACAGCAAGGCTGTGAGGTTAGCCAGGAGACGGCAGCACGACACAGTGTGAAAGCAGCTGCAAGGGGCAGGTCTCTCGAGCACTGGGAACTGTGGCCTTCCCAGCCCTGCGCGATGGGAAATTAGAAGGACACAAGGCCATGGATTAAGGGGGCCTGTTAGAGAAGTGGCTAGTGACCCCTAGTGAGATCACGGTGGCCCCATTGTACTGGGTTTGCATGTACCTAGTGCAAGACTGTCTCTATCCCCAAGGAATATATAGTCCTAAATAAACCAGACTCACAGAGTGGGAAGGGCATACTTGCCGCACGGCACAGGTGGGGAACTGAGGCTAAGTGACTTGCCCAGGATCACATGGGGCAGTCGGTGGCAGAGTTAGGAACTGAAGCCAGAGCTCCAGAATCTCATCCCAGGGCCACCCTGCCTTTCTGGTGAGGGTTTAGGCATGGCCTCAAA